TGTATATATATATATATATATATATATATATTGCCAAACGAAATCAATATACCTTTCTTTTTACGCGTCTAACTCTACCCAGGCAACAGGCTGTCCAAGCGCTGTTCGATGTTCGTACACATATTTGTTTGTCCACTTGTCAGGGGAGGTGGAAGAGGCACAAGGCCCTGCCGCCGGCGCTCTTGAAGCGCACACGCAAACGTCGTCCCCCCCCCCCCTACCATGTGTGGTCTGAGACCAGAAAAACAGGGTACCAGCAACAACCCTTTCGTCCCGACAGTCTCGTTGTTGTCAGCCTTGTTCGTGTGCCAAACTCCTTCGCCATCCATTCTCCCTCACACGTCTTCGAATATCTCGCTCACCTTCATTTGGTCTTATCTTTGAAAACACGACGACGTCTCATGTTGTGGCTTTTTTTCGTGTCCCCATCGGCCGTTGTCTTCCTTGCGTTTTCTTCTTCCGCCGCGAGAAGGCAGAGTTTGGTAAGTACATTAAGTGTAATACCACGTCGCCATCGACAATCTTTTTTCCCGTTGAGGTACTTCTGTGTCTTCGCGCATCTCCTCCCTCTCACGTTCTTCTTTTGTTTTTGAAGCTCTTCCGTGTTTGCGTTTACGATGGGGTCAAAGCGTAGCGCCGTCGTCGCGGCAATCACCATCGCGGCTCTGCTGTGCATCAGCGAGGTGCGCGGCTTCGCCTACGTGCCCATCACATCCGTCTTCTACGCCGGCAAATCCACCGGGACGAACGCGGGCGACGAGCGCATGTGCCTCTCCAAGGGCGGCTACCTCGCCACGGAGGCCACCGCGGTGCTGCACAACGCCGACATCGCCGCCATGCAAAACGCCATCGGCACCGCGACGGAGTTCTACGCGTACCTTGGTGGCGGCATCAACCTGTTCCGCAGCAAACAAGGCGGCGTGCCCGGATTCTGTCCGTGGGCCTGGGCAGATCCGGAGACACCGAGCTACATACTCAATCCGCATACCGGCGACTTGCGAGACTGCCTTTACCGCTGGAGAGCGGGTCGTTGGCGGATGATGACGTCCGACGAGGGCGAGATCGCTGATGAGGCGCACTCGGGCGTGTCGTTCTACAAGGGCCGGAACAACTACCAGGGTGCGCTTTCTGGATTCCCAACGTGGTGGTACAACGCCAATGTTTTCGTTATACGTCCTGGCGTGATTGGCGGTCGCTACGTCGTTCTCTTCCAGAACGGAGAAACCACCTCCGCCAACCTGACCCCGATGTGGACGGACAACTTCGGCCTCGGTGGCTACACGTACGCTGGAGGGAGTGTCTTCGAGTCCGACGCTGTCTTGGGGAAGCTGCCATTTTTCCAAACGATATGCCAGGGACAGGGTCCCTTCCGCCTCAACTACGAGGACCCGAGGGCCTCCACCCCGCAGAAGAGCGATCTGCAGTACGTGTGGTGGGTCATCTTCTTTGTGATCCTCTTTGTGCTGTGCCTCATCGCCTTCTTGATCATCGCGTGCTGCCAGGAGCGCGAGGACATGGATGAGCCGCCGGAGGACGCCCCGGAATGGGCGGAGAAGGAGACGGAGGCGCGCGATGTGTCGAAGCGCTACGTCAGCCAGCGCTCCTTCCGCGTGGATGAGCGCGGCGGCGAGGACGACAGCAGCAGTCGGCACTCTGACAGCGTAGACAAGGAGGACACGTATTCCGATGAAGAGCGGACTTGATACCAGTGGTAGCGATGCGCCAACATGTACATATATATTTGCTGTGCGTGTACTCAGAGTGTTAAACCGAATTGAAGCAGACAACGTCTGTTTATCTTACTCTTTGATATTCTTATCTCCATCGTATTTAATTCTGTTACTTTCTCCAATGCAAAAGTTTCGCTCGTGCACTGTCGCTGTCGTTTCTTCTTATTTTTTTCCCCTATTGTTCTTCTCCTGAGCAAATTCCGAGGGGCTCTACTCCGAGATCGTAAAACCCTCGTGTCATTTACTCAGCCGCTTCAATATATATACATATAGATTCTTTGTTGTCATTGTTCGTTTCCTTTTCTATTATTATTGTTCTTGTTACTATTATGGTTCTCTGTTTATCTTTGGCGGCGTCGAGGATCGTAAAGAGAAGTGAAGAAGAATGCTAAGCATCTCAACGAGAGCTTCGAGAAGCACTTCTTCCAGCGCTCATCGTTTTGTTATATATATACATATATATATATATATATATATATATATGTATATGTGTGTGTGTATGTGTGTATGTGTATGGGGCTTCTGTTTCTCATGGTTGGTGTTACGGAGTATTTTTTGCCTCTGTTATTTCGTCGCTGCTGTGGAGCGCAACGGGGTTGCCCTCTACGTCCCGTGGCCGCAGCTCATTTTGCGGCGATCTCTTGCTTTGTTGCTTGAATTCTGCAATGACTCTTACCACCGCTTACTTCATCGTTTTTTCTTTTATTTATTTCTTTTCTTTCCTCCTTTGGGCATCCTTTCTTTTCTCACTTCTTATGCTACTTTTGCTGTTCACCGTTTGGAACGTCCGTTTCCTTCGCACGACGTCGTGCCGTCGCTCTTCACGTATTCACGGCCTGGTGCGGATGAATGATGACGCTGGTGTGTGTGTGCGTGCCTGTATTCTCTCTCTTTAAGTGCTGTGCGTTCATCCAAATATACTTATCTCGTTGCTTGTTTGTGTTTTAGCTTTACTCTCATTTTACAAGCTTATTGCTCACGGTGCGTTTGTTTGTCTCCGTCGGGTTCGTTCGCTTTGTGGGTTGTCGAGCATCGCGGAACAGAGGATATTCGTGGGCTGTACAGCGTCGTGAGGAAAAGAAGGAAGCGGAAGGAATGGGGGGGAAGCTCGTTTTGCGTGCGGCGTGTATGACGAGTGGCGCGGCGGAGGTTAAGATGCGGAGCACCCAGCTGGGTTGTGAGGATCGTTGGGTGAAAACAGAATTCTTCTTTGCCTATTTCTATGTTTACTGGTTATGTGTCTTATCGCCTGACCAGCTACCGTTGCGTTAATGACGAACGTACAGCAGAAGTGAAAGCAGATGCCTAAGCCGTGTGTTGTCGGCCTTTGAGTACGAGCTAGAAAAGGGAGTGGGAGCGGGGACTGTTGTGGCGGGCAGCGGCTTTTGCTTGTTGTTGTCGCTGGTGTTTGTCTTTGGTGTATTCGCCGGTACTCATCGACAGCCGTCTCCCTTACATCATCAAGACAAGGAAGCCACGACAAGGTGACGAACGTATTATGTGTATAGACTCCTCTCGCGGCGGTATTCTTCCAGGAGCCGACGTTCTCGTCTCCTGCGTGGGGGGAGAGGGCGGGGGGGGGGGGTCATCAGATCCCTTTCATAATTCCCCATCTCCCCGACAGCACCTAAATGCACCAATCAAACCTCAAAGCACAAAACCGTAACTGCGGCTTTCCTCCTCCCTCTTCTTCTCCTTCTTCTTTCGTTTCATTGTAGTGGCACCTGCGTCATTGCGACTGCCCCACTGCTTATAATTATTAATTTTGTTTTTCCTCTTCCTCTTGCGGATCGCCGTCAGAATTCGTACTCTCAGCGAACGGGAGAAGCGACACTATACCACTTCTGCTCTGATACCCCCACCTCGGAGGAAAGCAAAGATCGGAGGAGCAACCCGCACACACTTTCTCTCTATCTCTCTATCCGACTCAGACTCTTCCTCCTCTTGGTTTTCTTGTTTGTTGGTTGGCCGATTTCCCGCCGCTTTACTGTGGCAACTTCACTCCCCGACGTGCGCCACCCTTCCCACTATTGTCTCTCTTTCTTAGTTGTTTCCATCTACGTCTGCGCGTGTGCAAAGTATCTCCTCCCCCTCGCATCTCCTCCCTCTCACGTTCTTCTTTTGTTTTTGAAGCTCTTCCGTGTTTGCGTTTACGATGGGGTCAAAGCGTAGCGCCGTCGTCGCGGCAATCACCATCGCGGCTCTGCTGTGCATCAGCGAGGTGCGCGGCTTCGCCTACGTGCCCATCACATCCGTCTTCTACGCCGGCAAATCCACCGGGACGAACGCGGGCGACGAGCGCATGTGCCTCTCCAAGGGCGGCTACCTCGCCACGGAGGCCACCGCGGTGCTGCACAACGCCGACATCGCCGCCATGCAAAACGCCATCGGCACCGCGACGGAGTTCTACGCGTACCTTGGTGGCGGCATCAACCTGTTCCGCAGCAAACAAGGCGGCGTGCCCGGATTCTGTCCGTGGGCCTGGGCAGATCCGGAGACACCGAGCTACATACTCAATCCGCATACCGGCGACTTGCGAGACTGCCTTTACCGCTGGAGAGCGGGTCGTTGGCGGATGATGACGTCCGACGAGGGCGAGATCGCTGATGAGGCGCACTCGGGCGTGTCGTTCTACAAGGGCCGGAACAACTACCAGGGTGCGCTTTCTGGATTCCCAACGTGGTGGTACAACGCCAATGTTTTCGTTATACGTCCTGGCGTGATTGGCGGTCGCTACGTCGTTCTCTTCCAGAACGGAGAAACCACCTCCGCCAACCTGACCCCGATGTGGACGGACAACTTCGGCCTCGGTGGCTACACGTACGCTGGAGGGAGTGTCTTCGAGTCCGACGCTGTCTTGGGGAAGCTGCCATTTTTCCAAACGATATGCCAGGGACAGGGTCCCTTCCGCCTCAACTACGAGGACCCGAGGGCCTCCACCCCGCAGAAGAGCGATCTGCAGTACGTGTGGTGGGTCATCTTCTTTGTGATCCTCTTTGTGCTGTGCCTCATCGCCTTCTTGATCATCGCGTGCTGCCAGGAGCGCGAGGACATGGATGAGCCGCCGGAGGACGCCCCGGAATGGGCGGAGAAGGAGACGGAGGCGCGCGATGTGTCGAAGCGCTACGTCAGCCAGCGCTCCTTCCGCGTGGATGAGCGCGGCGGCGAGGACGACAGCAGCAGTCGGCACTCTGCCAGCAACAGCGGTAGCAGCGGTAACCGCAGTACCCGCAAAAATGACGTCTACGAGGATGAGGTGTCGTATTAAAAATAGAAGAATAGGAAGCGAGCACGGCAGAAGGAAAACGCAGTTTTTTGGAGGGGAGGTGCCAGTGTTTTGTGGGGCAACAAGACGAACAAGAGAGATGCGTCGCGCGGCGGCGTTGCGGGCGTACCCTCCCCCCCCCCCCCGCACCCTTCCGCTGCTGCCCTTTGAGCTGCGTGTGTGCTTGAAGTGCGAGTCCTCATCATGCAAGCAGCGCCTTCTCCGCACGTGACGGGGGATATGAGCGAAGTGGTTGTCCATCTCCTTTGCCACCAAAAGAACGCGATGTGTATGCATCTCTCTGCCTCATAACGCTTGGCATCGCGCTTTTCGTTTTTGTTTGTTGTTGCTCTCTTTTATGCATCTTTTGTTTTACTTGCCTGTAGGATGGTGTGTGCGTGTATGTGTGTGGGGGGATGTTTCTTTGCTTCCTTTCTCGTCTGTCGATCCTTGAGCGCTGCGGGTGGCACACCAGTGCAGCGTGCAGAGGAGGCGACGCGCCAACGTTCTGTGTTTGTTTTGTTTTCTGTACTTTCTGCTTCGTGGACACGGTAACCGATGTCTACATGGATTTCGATGAGTCATTCGGGATGTGCACATGAAGTATTCCTCTTCCTTTTTCGTTGTTAAATGTTGTTGCTTGTTTTTTGTATGTTGAGTTCTTCTTCTGGTTTATTTTCTCTCTGAGAACCCGCCTTCTGTCTTTTTCTCTTTTCATTTCTTTTCTTATGTATTATATACGGTAAGCAGCATGTTACTATATATATTGTTCATGTGCCTACGCGTTGCATCTTTCGATAGTTTTGTCCGTCATCCTCGCTAATCAATATAACATACTCCGTTTGAGCGTGCTTGTTCGTTTGTTTCCGCACTTCGGTGTTTCCCGCGACGCTGCCTAGAGTATTGTTTTTTTTTCTTGCATTTATGATGCTTGCTGTGTCGCAGACCCCATGTCACGCGCCTGCGCTTCCCCCTCCTCCTCCTTCGCTGCTCAGAGACAAGAGATGCGCCACAGCAGCGCTGGAGAAGCCGTCGCGCGTTTGTCTGTTCGTATTTAGGAAGCTGATCATCTTCTTTTTCTTCTCTTTCCCTTGATGCATTGGTGATGAACAGAGTAAGGGAGGGAGGGAGGAGGGGGAGAAGGCGGGAGTTAGAAGTTCGTTTACGCAAACCCACGCACACGCACAATCAATGCACTCCCAAGACGACGGGACCTCATAGCAGCAGAGACCCCCTTCACGAAAAGTGCGGTTTGTTCTCGTTGTACTTCTCTCCTTCTTCCTTTTCTTTTTTCTTCTTTTTTGAAGCCCGAGCGTGGAATGAATGGACGATGGAATGGCTGAGATGAGTCGGTCTAGCCGTTATATATATATATATATATATATACATATATTTCGTGCCATCGTATCTTTTCATATCCTTCGATAGTTTTCCGTTCTCGAGTCTCTCTCTCTCTCTCCCTCTATCTTTCGCGTCCCGCCCACCCCGCGCCCGCACCGCCCCGCTCTTTGAGTCCGATACGGAAAGGAAGGCTGCCACGCTTGATCGTTGTGGTCCAGTTGGGAGAGAAGAAAGAATTAAAAAATAATGCTGAGAATGACCTCTTTTTCTGTTGTTTTCTCCCTCATGTATTTACTTGTCTTTTAAGAGTCCGGTACGTCGCTGCACCGGACCAGCACCCGGATGCGAATGGAAATACAGCGATCAGCTTCTATCTTTATCTTTCTACTTTTTTCCTTCATTTCTCCCTCTCCTCAAAAGGGGGAACTGTCCACGCCTATTCTCTATTACGCTTGTAGTTTACTCCGCTGTCCAGTCTCTTTATTTCCCCCTCCCCTCTCCACCCACCCACCAGGGGTACGTGGAGTGACAGATGCATCGTGTGCGAGGAAGGTTCGATGGACGGTGGGGCGCACACCAAGTCGCAGGCGCTCAAGAGTCACGTGCGTGTGCTGTACTGCCTCTCCGACTTGCATGCAACTCCGAAACGGACCAGTCGGTGTGGGCAACCCTCCTCTTTACATAGTTGTAGGATATGCCTGACTACGTGTTATTTCTATTGTATTCATGCATTGGACGTTTCTTTAGCCGGCTGTTGTTTATTTTCTGTTCTATTGATCATTTTTTTTTGGTTGTTGTCGATGATGATGGAACGCCTGTTGCCGGTGTGCGCCAACCCTCCTCTTTTTTTTCCCTCCTTTCGATATGTGCATGCTGTTGTTGTTTCCGTAGCGTGTTTGCATGTGTCTTTCGGTTTGCTCTGTGTGTCGTCGTCGTCGACGTCCTCCTTTCCATGCAGCGGTGGTTCTTTTTCTTTTTGGCATTTTTCTTGTTTTTCACATGTGTACGCACGTACATGTGTGTGTGTACGTTACGCTGACTGAACAACGAAGGCAGAGGAGAGAAAATAGACAGAAGGAAAGAAACAAGAAACCCAAAACGCCGCGAGCGGAAGAAAAAAATGCTCCGCAAACGCGTCTCGTAGCGCCGGCTGCCGGCCCCCCCCCCACCCCTTAAAACACAAACGATGGGGAGTAGCAGTAACAAAGAAAAGGGAGAGGAAAAGGGCGATGAAGTGTCGAGCATCGGGCAATACCCGAATTAGCTATGCACCGATGACGGCGTTGGCATACGTGCAGTATATTTCTGTTTCCCGTTTTGGTTGATTGTTGCCGACAGCTCGTGCGCTTCATCCTTGTCCATTCGTGTTGATTGCGCGTGTGCCTCGCCGCTGCGCATCGGCTTCAAGTGCCCCGCTGTGCCCGCTTCCCCATGCGATGTGGCGTCCCGCTCAGCTGGCAACTGACGCCGGCGTCCTGTGTGCGTGCGTGTGTGCGTGCGTGCGTGCGTCGTCGGTGCCCGCCCAACGCGTAGGGGATCTATTGGGCGTTGCCTGCGAGACGCTGCGTTTAGCGGTTACAGCACACGTACGAACTCATACAGATTCTCACCTTCCCCTCCCTCCCTTCCTCTTCTCTCCTCACACCTTCACACACACACACACACACGCACACACGTCGCCAGAGAAGCGTAAAAGGCAACAGACGTCATCGCACAGCATTCACAAGGAAGCGACCTCCGAATCCATTAAACGGGCGAGAGAACAACGGTGAGGAGGGAGAAGGCAGCGTTGCATCGCAGTGCAAATGAGTGCCGCCGCCGTCTTCGCGGGGTACGCGCAGTACAGCGCGAAAGGGGACGGCTTCACCTACGCCCTCACCAACGCCACCGCACCCACCACGCCAGGCGCTGCGGTGGTTCTTGTAAGCGACGTGCAACGGGCCTTGAGCTTCTTTCCCTTCTTGTTTTTACTTGCCGGCGTGGTGCTGGGTACGTTGCTGCTGGCGCTCCTCCTCATCGCGTTCTGCTGCCGGCGTCACACGATCTCGATGGAGCTGCGGTGCCTGCGGCTGCAGCGCACCCACGCGGAGCTGTGCCTCACCCTCGCGGGGGAGGTCCTTGACCGGACGCCGGTGCGACCCGCGCCTCCCACAAAGCGGCCGGAGCCGCCTAAGATGCAGCGCCACCGCAGCAGCAGCAGCAGGAGGAGCGCCCGCACCTCCAACTCGCCTCCGCAACCGCCGCAGCAACAAGGGCCGCAGCAACAGCAACAGTCATTCGTCTTGCCACCCTCCCCTGCGCCTCCGCTGCCGCCGCTACCCATCACCAACCGCTGGATGCTGACCCCCGAGCCGTTCGGCGTGTTCCCACCCCGGCAGCCGCCCACGCAGCCTCTCTTCCCCGAATCCCCAACCGCGATGGAGGCGAACTGCGCCGCCTGCAACTACAATAACATGTACTTCCCTGTGCCGATCCTCGCCGCAGCGCACAAGGCGGCCTCCCCATCGCCAGAGGAGAGAGCGAGGGCATCGGAGCCGGAGCAGCAGGGCCTGGAGGAGACACAGTCGGACACCTCATCAGCTACCGGCTCCATTACCGCGCCAGCACCGACGCTGCGGCGACGTACGTCTCGAGTGAGCTTCATAGGCGCCGAATAAACCCTTCCGTTGACTTCATCCTACACACTTTTCTATTATTTCGTTACTTGTCTAGCTATCTCCGTTTGTTTGTCTGTTTTCCTACTTGCCTGCATACACAAACTCATGTACATTATCCAGCGCCGCCCCTTTCTTTTCACTGTGTGTCGTCTGCTTTCTTTGGCGTTTTCAGTTTATATATATATATATATATATATATATTATTTGCTTATATTTAGCATGTATTTTGGAACGGTCCTCGGCCACACACACACACACACTCACGCGCTCGCCGGAAAGATCGCTGTGGTATTCCCATGCGTTTTTACCCATTTGTACCCGCTCACGTTCTCGCGCTTTTGTTGTTTTTACACTCCACCTCCAATCTCTTTCCGTCCCCTTCTGGGACAATGCCACAATCGATTCGTCACTTTCTTTTGTTTTTCTCCTGCGCTGACGTCGTGCTTTCTGGAATGATCGACTTCACGTGCAACGGTGTTGGCGGGGCGCCGACTCTCTCTCTCTCTCTCTCATCCTCTCCCTCCGTTGCACCGCTTTGCTGTGTACACGTAATGTACGTGGGGCTCTCCCCTCTATCCTTTATTCGTTTCTCTACTTCTCCTGTTTTTAACAAACTTTTTTAACGACGGCAGAGCCGGCAGTGTCTCGCATCGCGCATCAACTCAATCCAAAATGAAAAGAAAAAAGGAACGCATGACGTCGACGTCGACGAGGTCGCGGGGAGCAACAGTGTGCCTCTCTTGCCGGCGTGAATTGGCGGGCGAGGCGGCGTTCGTGTATCGAGGATTTCGCTGCTGTATGGAAGCGCCGCAGTGCGTTGCGTGTAGATGGATGATTCAACAGAAAGATTGAATTACACATGGATGCATAGGTGTGTGTTCCCCCGGTCCGCGCTGCTGGTGTCGCGCTCTCCCCTTCCCTCCACCCCACCCCCTCTCCCTCCCACTCATCCTCCCTCTTCTTTACGGGGCATTCAAACCGCCAACTGCGCCCACACCACACACACACGCTGCCTTCTCCATCACCCACGTTGCACGCAGCACGACACTCTCGCCCTTCACAAGTCACAGGTTCTACCAACGAGTGAATAATATTTCTTTTTCCTTTTTGTTTATGTGAAAAACTCTCGTAGAGCTTCTTCTTTCTTCTCGTTTTCATCGATTGGCTTTGTTGTTGTTGTTGTTGTTGTTTGTGACAACGTCCCTTCATCAAGAACACTGATAGCAATCGACAACGCCAAGGCTTGAAAAGCTCCGCCGTAGATTAGTTTTCTCCATTTCTTCGCCCCCACTCACTTCGCGAAGAGGTTTACCTGCCGGCATTCTTTTTGTTTCAAAGCACACACAGGAACGGTTATCCCTTTACTCTCCTTCCTCTCCACTTTCCCTTCACCGTCAGCGCTGACACAACTAGGAAGGAGTCCAACATGATTGTTGGAGCCCACCTTCCGGAGTCGCACAGCCGGCGGGCGGTGCTGCGGCGGTGCTCGTGCGCGTCCCTGATGCATCTGGTGCTTCTGCTCGTCTGCTGCGTACTTCTGCTGCAGCTGCACACAACGGTGGTGGCCGCTCCCGTCTGCACGAAGTGGTGCCTCGACTGCCGCGAATATAAGAGGTCGTCCTACTGCATTCAGTGCATCAACTCCAGCTACGTGACGGACTACAACACGCATCAGTGCAACGTACGGCCGGCAGTCGTGCCATGTACGGTGCCGCATTGCGAAGTATGCGTGTTGAACGGACCGAACTATTGCTACATGTGCGAGAACGGATATCAGCAGAAAGATAAGGACTTGCAGTGCTACCTTCTTCCCACCACAACGCCGGAGCCGACCCCGCCACCCAAAACGACCACTACAACGACGAGCACCACGACACGGAAGCCGACCACGACCACTACAACGACCACCACCACAACCACCACCACGGCGCTGTGCAAGGTGCTGTGGTGCTCGCGGTGCGACCCCAACGACGGCACCGTGTGTGCGCAGTGCTACGACGGCTTCACGTGGAAGACGTCGCACAAGTGCGAGCCCACGGCGTCCTGCTACGTGGAGGGCTGCCTCGAGTGCGACCCCATGGACAGCAGCGTATGTCTGTCGTGTCGCGTCGGGTACACCTTCGAGTCCTCGAGTTTCTGTCGCAATAACGCCTTGACGAATGCTGTGTCGGCGCCGCGCCGGTCGTGTGCCAGCGCCGCCGCGCTCCTGGTTCTTGCAGTGGCCTCCCTTCTCGTCTCTCTCTCGTAATGTGGTTGTGTGTGTGTCTGATTCTGTGTGTATTCCTCATCATCTGCGCACAGCCTCTCCGTCGCGAGAGTCGGCAGCGCATCTTTACTTTGCCTCTCACGCGATGCTGCCGAGGGGACGAAGGGCGTGTTCGGCGTGCCCGTCCGCTCTCTTTTAATTTCTTGTTCTTTTCTTCTTTTGCCACTCTTTTTGTGTAAGCTTATGTAGTCTACCGTGAAGCAGTGCAGGTGCGCCGTTGTGCCTCGACATCGGTGTTCTCGCGCTCGCATTGCAGCGCTCGCGGTTGTGCCCCTCTATGCAACGTCAAGCGTGGAAGGTTTTGAGCGTGGCGACCGCTGAAACGTACGGCGCATTAGAAGGCTCGGCACTTGTGACTGTCTGTGTGCGTGTATGTGCCCCTCAGTGGTTTGTTCACGTGTCTAAAAACGTGGAACGTACTCACTCTCTGCGCTAAACGAAGCACACGCACACACACATATTGTTATTAGCTGTATTGTTCTTTTCCAGCTTGGCTACGTGTGTGTGCCCTCACCACGAAAAGCGGTGTGGGATACGCCGTGGATCGTGTACGACTCAACTATTTTTCCCGTCTGTTTTTTTTGTGTACTTCGGGTTATTTATGTATGTATATATTCGCTCTCTCTCTCTCTCTCT